GTATATAGAAAATCCAAAGAAATAGGGGCGCCTGGATGGCTCAGTCGGTTAAGTGTCAGACTCTTTGATTTCAGCTCAGGTCATGATCTTGTGGTTCATGAGATGGAGCCCTGCATCTGGCTCTGTGCTGACAGTTCAGAGCCTGCTTGAGATTCTCTCTCTCCCCTCTCTCTCTGCTCCTCCCTGCTCATGTTCTCACTCTCAAAATAAATAAACATTTAAAAAAAAGAAGAAAATCCAAAGGAGTGCATTAAAAAAGCTTATAGTAGTAGTAAATAAGTTCAGCAAAGTTGCAGGATACAAGATCAATATGCAAAATTATCAATTGTATTTCTATATAGTTGCAATAAACAATCTTAAAATGAAATTAAGAGAATAATTGTATTTACAATAGCATCAAAAAGAAAAAAATACTTAGGAACCATTTAACAAAAGATGCAGAAAACATATTCTGAAAAAAAAGTTGTTGAAAGAAATGGAGGAAAGCCTAAATATACGGGAAAAGATGTATGTTCATGAATTGGAAAGTCTATATTGTTAAATGGTAATACTCTCCAAAATGATCTACAGATTTAACACAATATCAGAATCCTGGCTGGCTTCTTTGTAGAGATTGACAAGCTGATTCTAGATTTCACATAGAATTGCAAAGAATAGCCAAAAAATCTTGAAAAAAAAAAGAGCAAAGTTAGAGGATTCACACTTCCTAATTTCAAAACTTACTACAAAGAAGTAATAATCAAGGCAGTGTGTTACTAGCATAAGGAAGAGCATATAGATGAATGAAATATAATTGAGAGTCCAGAAATAAACCCATGTGTCTATGGTTAATTGATTTTTGACAAGGATGTCACCAACGTCATTTAACGGGAAAAGAATAGCCTTCAATAAATAGTGCTGGGACAACTGAAGAACCATATGCAAAATAATTAAGTTTGATTCTTATCTCACACCATGTGTAAAAATTAATGAAAAATAGATCAAGGACCTAAGTATAAGAGCTAAAAGTATAAAACTCTTAGAAGAAAATATAGGGTTATTGTTCATGGTCTCTGATTTAACAATGGATTCTTAGATATGCCATCAAAAACATGAGGAACAAAAGAAAAAGAGATAAAGAAACTTGACTTCACCCAAATTAAAAACTTTTATGCTTCAAAGTGGAACAGTTTAAAAGCATAAAGATGAACAAAAATCAAATTGGCTGCCCTAATGCTTCAGTGAGACTTGATTTTATTTTATTTTTTTAAATGTTTATTTACTTATTTTGAGAGAGAGAGAGAGAGAGAACATGAGAGCGGGGAAGGGACAGAGAGAGAGGGAGAGAGAATCCCAAGCAGGCTCTAGCTGTCAGCACAGAGCCTGATACAGGGCTTGAACCATGAGATCATGACCTGAGCCATGCTTAACCAACCGAACCACTCACATGCCCCACGAGGCTCTATTTTAAAGTACCATTTTTCCTCTCTTCTGCAAACCTGGGGTAAGAATGGGGTCCTCCATTCTTAGCCTTTTGTTTGAGGAACCCAGTACCACCCTAAAGACCTGACAGGCTGGCAGCAAGAACACTATTCCTGTCAAAAACAGCTAGATCCTGTATTTCCCCATAACCTCCCTCCCCCACCCCCAACCCATCTCTCTAGGCAGGTTTGCAGTGTTTTGAAGGCCATATCCTGCTGTAGCCTCCTTTGCCTGGCAAAGCAATAAAGTTATTGTTCCCCTTTATCCCAAACTGTGTCTTCGTGTTATATTTTAGCCCCAAAGCATGGAAGTCAGTTTTGGACAACAAATTGACACTGCAAGAAAGTGAAATGAGAACCCAAAGAATGGGAGAAAATATTTACAAATCATATATCTGATAAGGGACTGGTATCTAGAATATATAAACAATTTTTTATAGCTCAATAATAAAAAAGCCCAATAACCCAATTTAAAAAGGAGCAAAAGGGGCGCCTGGGTGGCTCAGTTGGTTAAACTTCCAACTCTGAATTTCAGCTCAGGTCATGATCTCACGGTTTGTGAGTTTAAGCCCAAAGTCTAGCTCTGTGCTAACAGTGCAGAGCCTGCTTGGGATTCTCTCTCTCTGCCCCTCCCCTGCTCATACTTGCTCTCTCTCTCTCTTTCAAAATAAATAAATAAACTTTTAAAAAATGAGGAAAAACTTCAGTAAGCATTTCTCCAAGGAAGATATACAAATACACACATGCAAAGATCCTCAAGTTCATTAGTCATCAGATAAATGTAAATCAAAACTATGAGCTAGCACTTCACAACCACTGGAATGGTCATAATCAAAATGTCCATAACAAGTATTGGTAAGGATGTGAAGAAATCAGAATCCTTATACACTGTTGATAGGAATGTAAAATAGTATGCTGCTTTGGAAAAAAGTAGGCACTAAACAGAATTACCGCCTGACTCAGCAATTATACTTCTAGGTATCAGCCCAACAGAACTGAAAACATGTCTACAGAAAAATTTGTACATGAATGTTCATGGCAGCATCACACATAATAGCCCCAAACTGGAAACAATCCAAATGTCCACCAGTTGGTGAATGGATAAACAAAATATGGTAACAGTGGAAAATTATTCAGCATAGAATATTATTCAGCAATAAAAAGTAATGAGATACTGATACAAGTTAAAATATAAATGAACCTCTAAAACCTTATGCTAAATGAAAACAGCCAGACACACATGGTCGCATGTTATATGATTCCACTTAAATGAAATGCCCAGAGGGGACATATTTGTAGACACAGAAAACTGGTCAGTGTTTGTCCAGGACTGAGCTTGAAGTGGAGGTGAGTATTTGCACTCACAGGGGATGGTGTTAGGGTGCTGGCAATATTCTAAAATAATTGTGGTGTTGGTTGTATAATTGTTTAAAGTTACTAAAAATGATTTAATTGTATGCTTATCTTTGGTGAATTTTATTGTATAAATACCTCCATAAGGCTGGGAAAAAAACAGTAATGGGCCAAAGGTAGGGGATGGGAGGTATAGATGAGGCTGTTTGGGCAATATATAGATAGTTTTTGAAGCTGGGTGATGGATAATGGGGAGCTGAAGTGGTTTGAATTGTGTCTCCTAAAAAGATATGTTAAAGCCCTAACCTCCAGTATTGTTGATTGTGACCTTACTTGGATATAGGGTCTTTGCAGGTATAATCAAATTAAAATGCACTCATACTGTATTAGAAGGGAACCTCAATCCAAAGAGGATACCGTGAGGGAGATTTGGAGACACAGAGACACACAGGGAGAACCCGTCATGTGAAGACAGAGGCAGAGATGTTTTCCAATAAGCTGAGGAGCACCAAGGATTACTGGGGATCACTAGAAGCAAGGAAGAAGCCAAGAAAGTTTTTTCCCTAGAACCTTCAGAGGGAGCATAGCCCTGCTCATGTCTTGACTTTGAACTTCTAGCCTCCAGAACTGTGAAAAAATTAATTTCTGAAAAAAAAAGAAAAAAATAAATGTCTGTTGTTTTAAGCTATCCAATTGATGGTAATTTCTTACAGTAGCCCTAAGAAATGAATATAGAGTTCATTGTACTACTATTTCTGCTTTTTTGTATGTCTGATATAATAAGATGTTAAAAAAGAACATTGTGATCCATCTCAGAGGACTCCATGTTAGGAACATTGTGGGTAGTAGTGGCTGTGGCACATGCCTGCAGAGGGTGCACTCTGTCTAAAGGGGACCTCTCAGCTCCGGTGACTGCAGCCAGGGCCTCCAATTTGTCTAAAGAAACTGGGAATCCGTATTTTTATGTGTGATCTCCTAAATTTGAAATGTTTGTGACTAACTCAAAATCTTAAAAACTTGGCTTTCCATAGCGAGATATGACAACAGTGTGTGTGTGGTATGTTTTAATCTTTCAAATTCCCTCCTAAAAATAAGAGTAGGATAGGGATGCCTAGGTGGCTCAGTCACTTGAGCATCTGGCTCTTGATCTCTTGATTTTGGCTCAGGTCATGATCTCACGGTTTGTGAGACTGAGCCCTTCATCCAGTTCTATGACAACAACATGGAGTCTGCTTAGGATTCTCTCTCTCTCTCTCTCTCAAAGTAAATAAATAAACATTAAAAAAAATAAGAGTAGGATAACAAAAGAGCCCCCCCTATCTGCTACCCCTTCCCCCACACATACACAATCCTTGTTTGGTCCAACTAAGATTTTTGCTGGTTGGATTTGATACTCAGTTAACACTGGAGATACGGGTTTCTTAAGTGCCTATTATGTATCAAACACTATGAAGGCATTTTATAGGCTGTATTTCTTTTAATCATCATGAGGTACACATTACTCATGAGGAATTGTTTTTTTTAAAGTAAGCTCTACTCCCAGTGTGGGGTTTGAACTCACAACCCTGAAATCAAGAGTTGCATGCTCTACCAACTGAGCCAGCCAGGAACCCTTAATGAGGAGTAAACTGAGGCAAAGACTTGGCCTGTGCTCTCTCTATTCCACTATAACCCATGAAAATTTTATTTTGATATAGAGACAGCATGAGCGGGGGAGGGGCAGAGAGAGCAAAGGAGACAACAGAATTTGAAGCAGGCTCCAGGCTCTGAGCTGTCAGCACAGAGCCCAACAAGGGACTCAAAATCACAAACTGAGATCATGACCTGAGCCCAACTTGGAGACTTAACCAACTGAGCCATCCAGGCACCCCACCCATAGATGGTTTTGAAATGTCTGTATCAACTGGTCTCAAAAGAATGGTCCCTGTAAACAGACAGATCTGGATTTAAGACACAGCTCTCAGGGTGCCTGGGTATCTCAGTCAGTTAGGCATCTGACTCTTAATTTTGGCCCAGGTCATGATCTCATGGTTCATGGGATTGAGCCCCGCATGGAGCCCCGTATCAGGCTCTGGGCTGTCATCATGCAGGCTGCTTGGGATTCTCTCTCTCTGCCCCTCCCCCACTAGTAGTGCTCTCTCTTTCTCAAAATAAATGAACTTAAAAAAAAAACCCTCAGCTCTCAAGTTGTTGTTTTTTTCCTTGTTGATAACTTGATTTTATTGTCATCATCACCACTGGTATAACCTCTGTTTCTCAGATTTGGTCTTTCTGTAGTTGACAATTCACTGCATCCTCAGAAGACACAGGAGCTAGGTCCAGATCTCTGGTCCCTGCCACTCACAGGGCATTACTTGGATCATCAGAGCTCTCTGGGGCCTCTTGTTTATATGCCAGCTGATTTTGATTTATTTTCTTGTTCATCCTGTAGTAACAGACTATTATTGTTGGCTTTTTTGCTTTCTTCATTTTTTTGAATTGTTGAAGGCCTGATGTTGCCCTTGTGATTGCCTTTTGCACCTTGTCATTTTTCTTGTTGGATTGACAGAAAATGTTCTGCTCCTTCCTTCCTTTGGTGCGTGGGGTTGGCTGTTTCATTCTTATGTTTGGTTGTTCTACCTTTATGCTAGGCTCTTCCGTGTGTACATCTCATCACCATATTTAAGCCTTCCAGGGATCTATCCCAGAGCTCCTGACCTCTGTGTGTATATACACACCTCTTCCATTAGCCAATGAGGAGCCACACCCTTTGGCTTTGGTCATGGAGGCACTGTTCCAGCCAATGGTAGCCCTGCAGTGGCTTTAACATCACAAAGCACTACTTCTGACATCTCTGTGGGTGGGGGGATATAGGGTTGATGTTGTGGTTATTTCTTTAACATCCCTAAAGACAGGTCCCAAAATGATCTGCCATGCTTCTTTATCTCCCATAAACAATTCTGATGGCAAATACAACGTAGATAGGGAGTTTCTTCCATCCATGCTCCATGGACACCCCTATTCTGTGGTTCATTTTGCTCTTGCTCATCATAACAAATGTATTCCCCAATCCACCTCATTCACTTCACCCATCCCTCTACCCACCTCCCCTCTGGCAACCATGTTTGTTCTCTATAGTTAAGAGTTTCATCATCAGGAAAATAAAAATCAATACCACAATGAGATACCACCTCACACTCATTGCAATAAAATTAACAACTCAGGAAACAACAGATGTTGGTGAGGATGAGGAGAAAGGGGAACACTTTTGCACTATTGATGGGAAAGCAACTGGTGTAGATACTCTGGAAAACAATTTCCTCAAAAAACAAAAAATAGAACTACCCTATGACTCAGCAATTGCACTAGTAGGTATTTATCTAAAGGAACAAAAATACTGATTTGAAGGGACACATACACCCCAATGTTTATGGCAGCACTATCAACAATAGTTAAATTATGGAAAGAGCCCAAATGTCCATTGACTGATGAATGAATAAAGAAGATGTGGTATATATATATATAAGATATCTTATATATATATAGATATATATCTATATATATCATATATATATAGATACCACATCTTATATACGTATATATATATATATTTATATATATAGTGTATATTCCAATGTGTATATTGTGTATATTCCATTGGAATACTATTCAGTGGAATACTATTTAGTGATGAAAAAGAATGAAATCTTGTCATTGCAACAACATGGAGTGTGTTATGCTAAGCGAAATAAATCAGAGAAAGACAAATACCATATGATATCACTCATATGTGGAATTTAAGAAATGAAACAGATGAACATAGGGGAAGGGAGGGAAAAATAAGATAAAAACAGAGAGGAAGGCAAACCATAAGAGACTCTTTTTAAAAAAAAAATTTTAATGTTTATTTATTTTTGAGAGAGAGACAAACTGCAAGTGGGAAAGGGGCAGAGAGAGAGGGAGACACTGAATCCAGAAGCAGGCTCCAGGCTCTGAGCCGTCAGCACAAAGCCCAATGTGGGGCTCAAACCCACAAGCTGTGAGATCACGACCTGAGCCAAAGTTATCAACTGATTGAGCCACCCAGATGCCCCAAGAGATTCTTAAACACAGAGAACAAGCTGAGGGTTGCTGGAAGGGAGGTGGGTGGGGGGAAGGGCTACATGGGCAAAGGGAATTAAAGAGGGCATTTTTTGGGATGAGCACTGGGTGTGTTACATGCTCATCATGAATCACTAAATACTACTCCTGAAACCAATATTACACTATATGTTAACTAACTTGAATGTAAATCAATTTAAAAAAAAAGATTCTGTTTTTGATTTGTCTCTCTCCCTTCCTCCCTCTGCAGTCTATGAGGAGATCTGAATCATCCCATTTCCCTACTATAAATCCCTCTTATGCACCTTGAAGACCAGTTACTTCTTGACTATCACCAGGCAACTTTTCCATCCACCTCCTTTTCCCCAGCGACTGAAATCACTGCCTTCAGTCAAGACTTCAGTGACTAACTTTCTCCACTGTGTATCCCCCTCTTGTTTTAAACAAGTCCAGCATTCACCAGCTTTGTCATGGTCATCACTGCCATCATTCTCTTACTGCACTCTCCTTCCAATGCAGCAGCTGTTGAACTTGGAGACTGTTCATCAGGTTTGGTGCCATGCTCTTCAGCAGGCTGGTGGTATCAAAGACACGGAGGCCTCCTATGTGACTCATTCTCTCTAAGCTTTGGTTCTGCCATCTTGTAATTCAGCTAATAGGTCTTGTGGGGATCCAGCTCCAAAGCCCACCCATCGCAGGCCATGTCTCAGCTGTGCCTGTTTGACCTGGGGAGCACTAGTCCCACTCTGCCATGGGCTTTGCTGTAGGATGGGCCTATGCAGTTGGGCAGCTCACAGTCCTGCCCTGCCCCTGTGAAGCTCCTTAGTTTTCTGGAGGCTTCTGCTCTGTTACAGAAACAGATGGCATTGACCAGGTTCAGCTCAATGGATTCTCCTTAAAAGTGCCCAGCAGCCTCAATGTTTTTACTTTTCCTTCTGTTTGGGGCACTGTGCCTTCTCAGCTCTTAAGTTAAACACTATATGATTGGGAGTAAGATACGAAGCATTGTAGTAAGTAAGATTCCAAGCATTGATTTCCTTGTGTGTAAAATGGGAATGATATCAGTGCTTAACTCCTGAGGCTAATGAAGAATAAAAGAGACAGTATATGCCAAATGCTTAGTCTGGTTCCCATAAGGGCAATTTGGAATTAGTAGGTGTAAGCTATCATTATTGTTATTTTAAAATATTATTGTTAGGTGTAAGGATTTGTTTAACTCTAACTTCCCCAGCACATCCAAAATTACTGATTACAAAAAAAAAAAAAAAAAATCTGACTAACTAAATTTTCTAGAAAATCCTCCTGTGAAGAAATCTTTTGGTTTTTTCTTTTCTTTCTCTTTTCTTTTCTTCCTTTCAAATGTTTTTTAATGTTTTATTTATTTGAGAGAGAGAGAGAGAGAGACAAAGCTGAGTGGGGGATGGGCAGAGAGGGAGACACAGAATCTGAAACAGATTCCAGGCTCTTAACTGTCAGCACAGAGCCTGATGTGGGGCTGGAACCCACAAACCATGAGTTGATCTGAGCCAAAGTTGGATGCTTAACCAACTGAGCCACCCAGGTTTTCTTGGCTTTCTTTTAAAGCAAATGGATTATAATAGTTGTTTTCTATGTGTACAAATAGCACACATTCTGTAAAATGCCATGTTGCTTTCCTTGATGGGTAACACCTGTTGCCAGAGACAGGCTTCTTCCTTTTCACCATGTACTAGAGCAGGAATTGTCTGTGTAAGAGATTCCTGGCCTCTTGACTGTTTCTCCCTGTCTGTCCAGCAGATGGCCACTGGAGTTTTTGTTTTCCTTCCAGTTCAATGCTACAGGCAGGAGTGACTTTTGAGGGAATAAGCAAGTTCCAGGGCAGAATCTCATTTGCTTAGCTGGAATTTGATGTCCACCCCTGGGCCAATCAGCTGTGGTGTGGGAGGATCATCTGGAGCACTGACTCTCTGAGAACAAGGGGCTTGGGTCACCAGGGCTGACAGGACCATCCAGCACATTCAATCATTCAAGAGTTGCTGGGATGTACAAGTTGATGCCAGAGATGACAACCATGACCCCCTGGGGCACATCCCTGGGAGATGCTGTTAATAATTTTCTTTTTTGGATATGTACCAAGTTTATTAGTTAATTAATCTAATTCTCTGAGGATTAAGACTTCACAACAGAAGAGAAAGATCTTCACTCTCTACATCTTTGTGTTTAGGTTTTTTTTTTCTTTTTAATACACTTTATTTTAGAACCTTTTAGATTCATAGAAAAATTGACAAGATAGTATGGAGTACCCTGTATCCAATTTCCCTATTATTAACATCTTCCATTAGTATGATACATTTGCTTACTATTAGTGAATCATATTGATACATTACAATTAACTAAAGTCCATACTTTATCCAGATATTCTTAGTTTTCACCTAATGTCCTTCTTATGTTCCAGGATTCCTCCAGGATATCACATTACACTTAGTTGTCATCTCTCCTTAGGCTCCTCTTGGCTGTGACTGTTTATCATTTTACCTGGTTGGTGGTGACCTTGACAGTTTTGAGAACTACTGGTCAAGTATTTTCTAGGCTGTTCCACTGTTGGGTTTGTCTCGTGTTTTTCTCTTAAGATTGGGCTATTGGGAGGGAAACCACAGAGGTCTCCATTTTCATTACCTCATAGTAAGAATACATACTATTACATGATTTATGACTGTTGATATTGGCCTTGATCACATGGCTGATGTAGTGTTTGTCAGGCTTCTCCACCGTCAAGTTACTCTTTGTTCCCCTTTTTATATTGTACACTTTGCAAAGAAGTCACTATGCACACACTATGCCTAATGGGTGAAGACTGATGCTCCCCCTCCTTGAGAGGAGAATATCTACATAAATTATTTAGAAATCTTTTGTGTATTAGTTTCCTAGAAGTGCCAATAACAAATTACCACCGACTAGTGGCTTAAAGCAACAGAAATGTATTCTTTCAGAGTTTTGGAGTCTAGAAGTCTCAAGTCAAAGTGTCAGCAGGGCCATGTTTCCTCTGAAGGATCTGGGAAAGAATCCTTCCATGCCTCTTGCAGCTTCTGGTGGCCCCAGGCATTCCTTGGTTTGTGACAGCATGACTCCAATATATGCCTCAACTTTCACATGGCCTTCTTTGTGTATTTCTGTGTTCTCTTCTCATAAGGACACCAATCATTGGATTAAGGGCTCACTGTAAATCCAGTGGGATAACTGAAGATCCTTAGCTAATTCCTTTTGCAAATACTCTATTTCCAAATAAAGTCACATTCTGAGGTTCCAAGGAACATGAGTTTTTGAGGGACACTTTTCAGCTCATCCCATTCTGCATGGGAGATTTGTCTACTTCTCTCCCTTTTCTTAATTTATTCAGTCGTTTATATGATTATGGACTAATAGATATTTATTTTTTACTTTGTGTCATAATCCAATACTACTTCTTTTTATTGCTCAAATTGTTTTAGCTTTGGCCATCAGGAGCTCTTTCCGTTGGTTTCTGTGACATAGTGTCATTAAAAATTTTTTTGAGTATTTACTCTTTGGCACTACACGATACTCCAGGATCATCTTGTGTATTTTCTGCACCTGTCCTAGAAACAACTATTTCTTCAAGGAGTTCTG